ATTGAGCAAAGACTATGGCTTTGGATTGCTTTTAATTAGTGTCATTTTAATGGTCAGACCTGTCGAACAGACAACATCCAAGGTAAAACTCTTGCTTTGATCCACCTGCTTCCTGTCTTTTGAAAGTCCATTAACACCACCAGGGTTATTTTTTTCTAAAGGAAAGTTAGTGCTACTTTTATTTTTGTTTTTTTTAAATTTGTTTTATTTTTCGTTCTGAAGTCTTAATCCGCTTGCCTTGCTCTAGATAGTTAACCTGACGTGAGCACCTCCCTGTCTTCAGCACGGAGCCTTTGTTGCACACTTCTTGTGTATCGTGAGCGGGGTGGAAGGGGACGGAGTGGATCATCGGGTTTGCAATCAACCGTCCAGACGCATTGTGCTTCTTCTCACCCGTTGCCATCCTCTCAAGGCAACTCACTCATCCCCTTCCTGTTTCCCACCTCTTTTCCTCCACCCCTAACCTGAAATCTATCCCTGGCCAAAGGCTGTCCCTTTGATCACCTAGGGCTGGCTGTTTGAGGGGCTATGTACTGACTGGGGTTCTCGTTTCCCTTGGACATCTGTCTAGTGCTGGGCTGAAAATTGGGCCACAGAGGGGAGTCCCATTTCAAACCCCGTCAGTGGGTTTTAGAGACTCCGTCCTTTGCTTGCTCCAGAATGGAATGTTTCAAAACAGTGCCTGGAGTCCAAGCCAAGCTAGCACGAACCAAATGACCCTAAAGAACCATGTGGTCACTGGAGGTGCGACATAAACGAAAGCTGTTACACTGAACTAGCCCTTCTGCCTTTCAACTCTCTTTCAGGCACTGGGGAAATGACTGCACTCAATATACAGTGGCAGAAAAATGTCAAGCAAATAGTCCTGTGAATGGAAAACAGAACGAGCAGAAATGAGTCCTACCCATGTCCACTGGAGTCTATATTTAGAGAAATTCAGAAGGGAAAGATGCAGGCAGAACAAGGCACCTAATCAAGATGGGCATGGCTCTGTCCTAACTAAAGCTTCGCTCTACATTTGTTATGAAATAAATTGTGTCCCCTGAACGTATATGTTAATGTTCTCACTGCAGCACTTACTAACACAGCCTTGTTTGGGAATAGAGTCTTTAGAGATGTTACCAGTTACCAGGAGGTCATATTTGAGCAGGATGTCTTATAATTCAATATGAGGGGGTGTCCTTGTAAAAGACACGAGAGAAGACAGATATGCACCAAGCCACATGGAGAGTGAAGCAGAGACTGGGGTGAGGCATCTGGAAGTCCAAGAACAAAGACTGTCAGGAAGTCCCAGGAGCAAGGATGAGTAAAAGAAGAATCGGTCCTGAGAGCCTTCAGAGGCAGCACGGTCCTGCCAACACCTTGGTTTGGGTTTCAATCCTCTAGAACTGTGTAACCAAAAAATTGTAATGCATTTGGAGAATTTTGTTGTGATACCTCTAGGAAGCCAACGAAGTAAATACGAGGGGAAAGTGGGTATTATTGAAAAGGTTATGTTGAACACGGTAGCGAGTGTCACAGTATAATTGATTGTCTTTGGGAATCGACTATCTAGATTAATCCAGAGGGTTCAAGAAAATATATAATGATATAGCTGAAAATGTGTAGGCTCTGGAAAAGTAGACACCTCCTCCTCACTTATTGATTATCTCACTACCTGACAGCTTGCATTTACAGCAGTAGTTAAGAATCAGCTATGCAACACTTTTGCTCATTGATGACTTATGTCCAGCGGTCAAGAATTTCAAGGTGATAGACAGGAATCACCCAGTTGTGATAGTCAAGGCTATATGTCAACTTGGGTCAGAATTCTCAGTGGTTTGGCAATTATAATTTGACAACTACATAATCACGTAGCCATCTTCCGTTTTGTGGCCTGATGGGGTCATCTCCCATTTTCTCATAAAGTTGAGTTTCAATGTTGAGAACCTAACCCAAGTGGATAAGTAAGAAGTGAATGTATTGTAATGACTCTACCCACGAGGTCACCTCTGGGTATATCACTTCATTCATAACAAGAGACGTCCAGATCCTCACATAGCTGGCTCTCTTGTCACAGCCAATTGCACACTAAATACTGCCTTCTCAGAGAGGCCTCCCATGACGTACCGAGTTCATAGCACGAATGCCTGCCGACCTCACAGTGACACATGAAGGCTTTTATAACCCCTAATTATTAAAAAGATCATGCTACCCTCCTCACAAATGTCAAAATAAAAACTATACTAAAAAAAGCAAATACATAAAGTCAATAGTAATCATAAAATGCATCTGAAAAGTCTAATAAAGTTGCACTTTTGCCCATAAGGTCTCATTTAATATTTATTTTGAAATCTTAAATTATATCATTAAGTATTTTGGAACTCATAGCCTACCCATTTGGTAGTTCAGTTGGTCATTCCTCTGGAATTATGTTTTCATATTTACTTCTTGTCTTGCTTATTGCCTGTTTTTCCCAGTAGGCTACAAGCAGTAGGAGGACAGGGAGTTGGTGTGCCCGCTCAGTACTGCAGCCCCCTATAAATAGCATCATGCCAAGCAAGGAGTTGGGGTTCAGTAAATGTTTACTGAGTAAGTGGGTCAAATTCTCTTTTTGTCTCTATGTCCAATATGTTCTGATCTCCACCACCAAAATAAATCACGCTGTATGCACGGGCTGGTGGAACACTGTAGGGGTCTAGTGGTGGTAGGATCCACCAGGGTTAACTTCCACTAGAAGACATCATGCCTTCCTGGGAGTCCCCCAGACATCTGGAACCTTTCAATGGAAAATGAGTTACCCAGTGACCCAGAGAGATTCTCACTATAAAACCTTCTGGACGAGGATGACCTTGTCTGGGTCACAAGAGCCAGCTGGGCGAGGAAGAGCCTGGGGGCTAATCGGAAAGAGGCACTCATAAGCTGTCCCTTAGTAAGAGTCTAACCAGAGACCCCAAAGGGCTGATGGCGTCACTTCTCTCAGTCACGAGCCATAGCACAGCGCTTCATGCGTCCACAAGAGACTCTGCCTTGTGGGAAGAGTTCTCAAGGCTCCATTCAGTAGAAAAGAGAGCAAGGCTGGTGTTCCCTCTGCCTGATAAACCCCATCTCTGGCAGCATGCCACCCTGGTCCTTGGACAAAGAAAGAGAGGGGCCAGGATGCTGGCTTCCTAGGAAGCTTCATCAGCCAGATGACAATTGAAATTAGCATCAGAACACCTTGAGGAAAGGAAGGTATAAAGAGTTGAATCTCTGAATGGAAAATAGATTATTCACTGTCAGGCTGAACAATGGGACAAGACATAAATAGCAGACATGAGCTCTGCACTGGCAGCACTGCGGGGAGCCCGCGCTGCAGACTTGGTGCCAGGAACCAGAAGGCAGCACAGAGGATGCACGTGTGAGTGAGAGCCGAGGAGAGCAGTGCAAACACACCGGGCTTCTCCAGCCTCATCAGGGTTGCAGGCCCCACGGCTTTCCACCTTAGAATGGCACTGTCCGTTTGCATTGTCAACGTCGTTGAACATCCCGCGTTCATCATAATAGGGCTTCAGCGAAAAACCACCGAGATGCGCTCAAATGTTGCTCAAAAACTGATGTGTGTGCTCATTAGAAGGCCCTGATGATGGCCCAAAGTTCTCTGTGCAGAGCAGACAGCTGTTCAATATTGTGCCGTGGAAGAGAGCAAACAGCAGTGACCTCTTGGCATCTGAGGTACTCGAGGGCCTGAGTCAAGGACAGTTTCCTGTGCAAGGACATGAAAGCAAAACGCGGATTCTAAGGTCATATTTAAGTTAGATTTCTAGTGGTGTTACTTACAATTGTGTGTGTCAATCAGAAGGAAAGGGCTCAGGGCGAGAGGAGAGAGAAAGGAGAAACTGGAGGGAGAAGACCTGCGAGGTCAAGGCAGACTTGGCTGACCTCACTGCTCTGAGCTCTGGCTCCATCACTGGGTGTGCCAGGCTCGGCCTCTCTCCCTGGGGAGCCTTTGACAGTGTGTGACGACACAGTGGGAGCGCGTGAAGCTCGTCATACAGCGTGGCACTGATTCGATGACTAACAAATAGCAACTGTTAGTGTCAGAATGAGGGGACGATTCCATGATTCCATCAACATGTAAGTACTGTCGCCTCGATGGTCTTTACAACCTCAGAGGGAAGGGACAGCCAGGCAACCAGGCTCCTCTGAGTACCACTCAAAGCTCCTAAGACAACTCACACTAGATAATTAATGTTTGGTGTTTTTCCCCCCAAGCATTGCTCTTTCTTGGCAAGTCTGGCCCAGGTTGTGTGAATGGCTCTATGAAGACAGGCCTACAACCACATTGGCTTCCCAGTCAGGTGGGTTCAGGCCCAGTGAACCAGATGGGCTCTTTGGAGCAGTTTTCTCTGCTGTCTCATGCAGTTCTTTATTCCCTTGAATTTGAGTTGCCACTTAAAAACCAGAGGGCCATTTACTTGACTTGAGTTAACAGAGAGATCTGCTGTTAATGCTAGTGGTGGTTCACATTTTTTCCAAGCCCTTGCTATGTGACAGCTTCATTCATAAAAACCTTCTAAGATACATAACAACTATCATCCTCATATTACAGGAGCAAACAATCTTTCTCCTAGGATGGTTTTGAACTGCTGACCTTGTGGTTAGCAGCCCAACACCCAACTCACAGTACTATCAAGGCTCTTGGTGCTGAGGCAACAAACTCACTGCCAATAAGGGCACTTCTGACTCATAATGACCCAATATAAGGTTTCTGAGGCTGTAGCTCTAAATAGGAGCAGTAGATCTATATAGGAGCAGACTGTCTTATTATCCTTCTGTGGAGAGGCTGGTGGATTTGAGCAGCCAACCTTCCAGGTAGCAACACAAAGCTGAACTCACTGTAGTCCCAGGGATCATGTAATTGAGGCACAAAGTCTCAAACTGAAGGCAGAGCTCCAACCCTGAAGGGCTGGCTTGGAGGTGCAGGGGGGGATGTGTTCACAGTGGCTGGGCGTGGCCCAGAAGAACTAGTTTCACATTACCTTGGTGAAGGTCAGACAGTCCTTGTCTTGGTCCTTGTCCTTGATCTCAAAATCGTAAAGTGCTTTGCCCTGGGGCGGGGCCTGCGGCAAGGGTCGGAGGCACTGGATGTAGCTGGCAGGGAGGAAGCCGTGACTGCCATTGAGCTCCCCGTGGTACCAGTTCTCGTCCACCTTGCGGCGCAGCATGATGATGTCACCCTTGTTAAACTTGAGGTCGCCGGGTTCTTTCCCCTCGTAGTTGTAGAGGGCCTTTCCATAGGGAAGCTGGGAAATATTCTGAAAGCAAAAGGACACGCCTGGTTACTAGCATGACCCTTCCCCCTGCCTGCCCGAGGTGGGATTTGCTCTGAGGAGCATAGCGCTCCCAATGGGGGGCTCAGTTGCTGGAAGCCCCTGGGTGATGTGAACAGTTAACTCATTCTGATGTTAACAAAAAAGTCTGGATCCCCCAGAGACACCCCAGAAGAAAGGCCTGGCAGCCTATAGCTGAGAAGTCGGTCCCTGAAAGCCCTCCTCAGACACGCAGGTGGCAGCTGTGAGGCAGATTGGACTCAGAGCCACTGGCGAGGGTTTGTGCTGGGGCTGTGGGTGTGTACAGAGCACCCTGGCAGTAGAGAACATTTAAGGAATAGACACCCTGACCCAGGAATCTATAAGCTCCACAGCTCAGCAGAGATAAAAGGTTCTGCGTAACTTGGACAATCATCTACCCACAAATGGCACATGGTAGCCTAAACACCCTTCTCAGCCTTTCACATAGAGACTAACTCCCTCTATGTCTAAGGAGAGCTAAGAGCAGCTCCGTTGACCCATGACGGAACTGAGACACAAAGACAAACAACGTGCTCAAATCCCTCACCCAGAAGTGGTAGAGCAATGTGGTCGATTGGATCCCCTCCCGACCCCCCTGCCCCCCACAAAGGTTTGTTGCAGTCCTAACCCTTGTAGGTGATCCTACTTGGACAGGAGGGTTTTCTTTGGTTGGGCTAATGAGGACTTAGGAGAGTAGGTTGGTCTTAAGCTCAATTCCTCCTGAGTGATGTCTTAGAGAAAGAGAACGCACTCACGGAAAGTAAGATCCACGAGGCAAGTCTGATTGCGCGTCACCACAGAGGCAGATGCCCTCTCCACGCCCAGGGATGTCAGGCATGGCCAGCAGCCACTAGACGTTGAATGTGGCACAGCAAGACTTTCCCTCCGAATTCTCCCCTGAACTCAGACTTCTAGAAGCCCGAACTGCTAGAAAATGAATCTCTGTGCTTTAGAGCCGCCTACCCCGTGCTACTTGGTTAGGGCAGCGCTGTGGAAACTGAGCCAGGAAGAATCCAAGTCCAGGTGGCCTGGCTCTGGAATGTTGTGACCCACTACCCTCTGTTGGGTTAACTTCCACTGGATGGTGTTTCTCAGTGACTTTAGCTCAGAAGCCAGGAGAATTTCCAACAACACACGTGGTCCTCCCTTCACCAATGACACCCTCAACACAGGCTGCAGAGTTCTGGTGGCGAGAGACTGCCCTTGGTTTCCAGGTGCTTATTCTACCCTGTCCAGTGGCCACATTTACGATGCCCAGCGACGAGATGACATCTTGACCATGGAATGTGGTGCCGTCAAAGGTCTCTCGAAACATCCCTCCCAGGACCTCGGTCCCCAGTACCCTAAACATTTTTATAAGATTGGTGCAGAGCCTACATCCATGACGCGTGACATCTTTTGGTTCAGAACTTCAATTCAAGCGCATAAAATGCTGTCCTTTCAACGTCATGGGATGCTCCTCTCAGGGCCCCCATGTCCGTCAGCCCATCCAAAAACGATCTGCTCATTTTGGCCCCAATAGATGACTGGCCCTGGAACCCAGCCGAGTTCTGGGCAAGCTGCTGCTGCTCAGCAAGAAGGAGTCCATTGAACAGCTCTGCCACGGACCACTCTGAATCTTGACTTGAGGTTCGCACCTGCCTCCTGGGCTGTTTCATAAAGACCAAGGTCTACAGGGATTTCTCTTCAGTTTCCATGTGGGTGGCCCACAGCTACTTAGCTGAGTAAGCACTGCCAAAAGCCAATTCTACACCAGAGAAAGCCAAACACAAGAACCTGATCCATTGTCCTGGTGTCCATACTCAACAATTTCCCAGCAGAAGCCACATTTCTCTCACCAGGGCTGCCTACGCCAAAGATTGCTTTAGTATTTGAATCAATCGATGGAAGCACAAAAGCCTGAAGCACTAATATATCGAAAAAACCCTTTGTAGAAGGCTTAATAACATGTTGGCAACTCATTCGCTCTACATTTATGTTTCAGCAACGTCAAACGAGAGCAGTTAAGAGAGAACCTGCTGGCAAATTGACAAACAGCCGCCACGAACCAATAAATAGCAACACCAGAGGATTTTCACTGCGGAACTCAATGAGGGGGAAAAAATCCATTTGCTTCCAATCACACCCATCCTGGATAGCTTTGTACTGTAAGTACAATACATTGTAATAAACTGCAATTTTAGAGAGCTAAGGAAAATGGACACTTTGTACTACAAGGACTAGGATCAGACAAGAATGGGGCTCTTGGTTGTGTGTCCCCAGAAGTACCCCATCTCCACGCAAGAGATGGTCAGCCCCTAAGCAAGGACATTTTGCTTCTTCTCCCAAGGGGACAGACACTCAGGCACTTTTAATTGCCATGACTGGGTGCTATGGTTAGCTAAAGAGGAAGGTCTGAGGACACTGCTAACCATCCTGAAATCTCTCTGTGGTTCCAACTTCATTTCAATCTAACAGTTTGCTGGAATCTCTGTCTGGAGGTCTCACAAGCTCACTGATGCCATGGTCTGCCCCTCAACCTGGATCCCTCATGCTGGGAACGGACGCACTACCAGCATGTGAAGCAAGGACCCAAATGCACACCCCGAGTTGCACACATCCTGTTCCTTCCACATCAGAGATCTAACCAATAGGCCCCTGTCTATACTTCCATTGCCATGGCCTTTATCTGCCAAACACTCTGGCTTAAACAGACCCAAACCTCTTCTACTGAATGTCCAGATTCCATCAGCCCACGCTGAGGCTACGTCCCAAAACAGAGCCAACACTCCCATGCGCTGTACTGCTTATACATTCCAAGGCCCTCAATGAGAGATTCAAGATCTTCAGCTTGGCAGTCAAGGCTCCTGCAGGCTGGCCTCACTACAGCTTTCTAATCAGACCCTTAGCATACTTCCCCACTCCTCCCGCCTTGGCGGAGGTGGGCAGCACCCTATTTCACAAAGAGGCTGCACTTGTGGACTCTCTGAGCTGTTGCCCACAAGGTTTCCATCACAGATTGAGCTCCAATCCTGCCTGCTCTTCTCTCCTCTCTCCCTCCCTCCCCACACTGTGCTCCTGAAACGTTTCAGGAGCATCCCGAGCCTAGCGCTCAGCCCACTGAACTGAACCCCAAACCAAACTCACTGCCATTGAGCAGATGCCAATTCACAGTGACCCTATAGGACAGGGTAGAACTGCCCCTGTGAGTTTCTTAGGCTATAACTTTCTAGGGGAGGAGAAAGCCCCATCTTTCTCCCAAGGAGTGGCTGATGGTTTCAAAATGCTGGCCTAGTGGATCGCAGCCCAATGAGTAACCACTATGCCACCAGGGCCCACTGTATTCGTTCCCTCTAAAAACAAAGCTCTCAGAACCAGGATTCCAGAGCCCAGAAGACCCGGCAGTCCTGGCACATAATAAGTGCTCTTTCGATGCCCATTAGAAATAAACAAAGGCTATTCCTGAGACAGGAACAGGACAGGGAGGGGAAGTCAGGAAGCTGGAAAAGAAAGACAAGGCTGGTTGAAACAACCGTCTGCACACGAATGACCTCCCCAGAGCCCACACGGAGCCGGTTAAGTAGCACAGAGAAGCACTGCGCAGTTCTTTTAGCACGGAAGCCGGGCATGGAGACGGGGCCAAGCACCTTCTAGAGAAGCGCAAGCAGGAGCAGTATGTGGAGGATACTCAACCCAGAGCCACCTTTCTGGACAGACCCCCTGGGGCCCACGGTCAGAGCTGATTAGCTGCGATGTAAGGCTTAGATCCCTCAACAACGACCTGGGCTGGCTCCATTTACAGTGTGTTCAGGTGGTCCTAGAATGATAGTGTTAGTCTACGGGCAAAGAGGAGGTTAAGAGGTGAGAGAAAGACATCAAAGAAGAAAGGGAGAAAGAGGCCTATTGCTCTAATCCCTTTTCCTCAAACTGCCTAGGAGTCAGCATCTTATAGCACAAGAACCCAGAGAAGTAACAAACCGTTTTAATTAAGATGCGGGACACATTTCCGAGGGCAAGAAAAAATTCAGGGGGTTGATGCAGCAGAAGCGGTGCTCACTGTTAGGAAATGCTAAGTAATGGTGACACGTAGCACCTTCCCAGAATCTTTCATCTTCAAAGTCCTTTCTAAGTATGAACTAATTAGCCCATGAAAGAGGCCTAGAGGTAGGCAGAGACTGTTACGATGAGGGGAGACTTCTGCAAATTTCACAGCAGCAAACAAGGGGCTTGCTGGAAGCCAGCTCCTTCACATCCAAGTGCAAGCAAACCTTGCAGGCTTCCTTTCTGACTGCAGATGTTGGAGCGCTCCCCTTTCTCAGATGGCCATTTCCCTTCGGAGGGATGGTACCCAAACATTGCCACAAAGCAATGGGCTCAAGCCATTAAGTAAAAGAAATGAAAGGAGAAGGGGGAATCCATCTGGGATGCCTACAGGATAATTAACACCAGCCGTCACCACAAGGCATTAATAATAATTAAAACTTATAATGTCAATTTCATGGCCCATTACTCAGATGTATCACACAAATCTTACTCTGGGCTTAATGTCCTGCCCCGTGGAGAGATGGGTGCTCACACATGCACAGTGGGCTCTTTCCATCTTCCACTGGGAGGAGACAAGGCAGTGGGCTTTGACAAATGCGCAGCTGTACGCCACTGTAGGCAGAGTCTTAAATCACCCTGGCAGGGCGGGCAGTGAGGGCAGGCACCATGGCTGGCATGAGCTGCCGTGGGGCTCCAGCGGAGGGAGAGGCCCAGTGCCTAGGTAGAGTGGTGAGTGACTTGGCTCCAGGTCTCCCATCATTGGAGCTTTGATGAAGGTGGCACACACACACACACACACTGCCTTCACGTCAAGTCTGATTCATGGCTGTCATCTCTAGGGAAGCAGATCTCTAGGCCTCCTTTCAGGGAGCCAGTGGATGGGTTTGAGCCACTGCGGTTAGAAGCTTGAAGGGAAAACTTTGGAGTTACCAAGAAGACCC